GGGCTTTTTTTTTTTTTTTTTGCAATCTTACTCCTTCAAGTCCTGATTTCCTTGGCTGCTCTTTGATGTCTTTATTCAGGTTATTTTTTGTTTTACCTGGCCCTTATTACTGTTCTTGGCAGACTGTAATTCTGCTGCAAGCTACTCTAACTACCTGAAAGCAGAAGTTCCATGTCTTCTAATCTTAAAAATCTAAATAGATGAGAATTAGTTGATCACCATTTCATTGAGGGGTGGAAAAGGTCATGACTATGCAAGATGGGTGGGAAATGTTTCCATGTTCTTAGCTCTAATTCTGTTAGTTGTACTGACTTTTTCCTGGGATTAGACTGGTTTTGTTATTCATGTGATGTCACTGATTTTATATTCTGATCCTTTGAAAGAACTTTTCTTACTAAGCTAACTGTAGTCTTTTATTTAAATCTTGGATTCCTTGCCCAAGAAAATAGCTCAGTACTTTCTAACCAGTAACCTACCTCATAGAGGGTTCAAGAAGAAAGGAAAACACTGTGTGATTTCTCTAGAAATAAATGACTTGGCTTGATTTTTTTACAGAGCATCTCCACTGTACCACAGACATTGATACCTATTGGAAGTCTTTTAATTTAGTTTGAAGCCATCTTCACGTGATCTTTTTGTGTTGTAAAGGTGTCCACTTTTTTGTTGTTGTCTGTTAATTAGATTGAATAGTCAAAGTTTTTTACTTTTTCCTCTGGCCTGATCCATTCTGGATCAGCAATGAATTTAAGCCACTAGTTGACTGTACATTTATTTAATGGTATAAACTTCTAAGCTCCTTCATGGTATATTATTCTTCGGCTTTCTAGAAAAATGCTAGAAGACCAACAGAATTAGTAGAGAGACATGCATTTGGTGGCATATCTTTGGTCTTAAACATAGTTGTAGATAGAAGATGGATTTCCTGTGAGACCAGATAGTTCCTTCTGGGACCTTCTGCATTAATTTTCTAAGGCTGACTGTGACAAAGTACCATCAACTGGGTGGCTTAAAACAATATAAATTTATTCTTTCCCAGTTCTGGAGGCCAGAAGTCAGAAATGCAGGTGTCAGCAGGGTTGGTTCCTTCCGGGGGCTCTGAGGGAGAATCCGCTCGTGCCTCTGCTGGCTCATCGCGGCCGCCCGCAGCCCTTTGTGCTCGTCAGCTTATGGCTGCATTGCCCCTGCCTCTCTTTCTGTCTCTGCCTGGCCTTTCCTCTCTCTGTCCCTGTCTCAGAGCTCCCTCTGCTTTTCTCTTAAAAGGATATCTGCTGTTGGATTTAGGGCCTGACCTAAATCCAAGATGATCTCATCTCAAAATCCTTAATGACATCTGCAAAGACCCTATTTCCAAATAAGGTCACACTCACAGGTTCTGAGGGAACGTATATTTTTTTGGCCTCGATTCAACCCACTTATTGGACTCCTGTGGACTCCTGTGTTTTCACTACCTTTTCTGGCTCAAGTAAGTGTGATTCTACTGCTTAGGGAAGAAGGGAGGCCACAGAAACAACAGATTTCAGTTTGGCGGCACCCGATCCTTAACAGTCAGAGCACCGATCAAATCGAGAGTGAGAGCGATCACGTCTTACAGGACGAGGTCCGTTTTCTTGGTACGGGCTGGGGAGGAAGAGTGCACTCCAAGTTTATTTTAGTCTGGAAAAATTTTCAGAGACCAGGCACACAGGGTATGGTACCAGCAGGTAATAAACTTTAAACGTGTGGATAAAAGGTAATATCTTGTGGTAGTGAAACTCAGTAGTGCTCTTTTCCAAATCAGTGTTTGCTTTTGTTTGTTTCTGAGTGAAATTTCATTTTAAAGATCTTTCCCAGATTGGAAGGTAAACAGGTGTGGAAAATGAAAAGCAGTTGTTCATAAGATTTCAGAAGGAAAAAGGTGGTTTTCTTTTGCTTCAGAATTTGGGGGAAAGAATGTTAGGTCTCATTCCTGGTATGTTAACCAGCAGCAAAAAGGGCAAGGAGGAGGAAATTTAATGTCTATTTATAACATGTTTTAGCTTCTCAGTTTAAACTTTAGTGGAAGTGAAATTTGGCCATTTCTTGCAGTCATGAGGCTGTTCTTTTTGTCCCTACAGACCGAGGGGACTGGCAGAGGGAAAGAAAGTTCAGCTATGGTGGTGGTAACAACAATCCGCCGTGGGGTAGTGACAGGCATCATCAGTATGAGCAACACTGGTATAAGGACCACCATTACGGGGACCGGCGACACATGGATGCCCACCGTTCTGGGAGCTACCGGCCCAACAGCCTGTCCAGGAAGAGGCCTTATGATCAGTACAGTAGTGACCGAGACCACCGGGGACACAGAGATTATTATGACAGGTATGCAGAAGCCCTGAGACACCTGACGCTGACCTCTGCCAGGAGCTTTGTTGTGTTGGCAGGGGACAAGACAAGCAGCATACACATAAGTGTATGTATTGCATACTCACTGAACATAATCATGCCAGGCATGCTCTCAAGTTTAACCAGATGTGTCTGCTATGAAGACTCTTCAGGGTGTTGGGAAGGTGTCTTGATACAGGCAGCTGACATTGTGTGTTGAGTGGATGGGGGAAAGTAGGGGTTTTGAGTTTTTCCTGAGGACTGAGGAAGAGAGGAGGCGGGTAATTCTGAAGAATCAGCTAAGCAGAGAGAAATGGAGTAGGCATCACAGGTCTAGGCCAAGGTTAAGCACTGGGAAGGGTTGTCCAGAAGATTCATTCCTTGGATAATGGGGGGACATTTCATGCCAAGTTACAGGTTTAACGTTTTATTCTCTGGATCATAGGTAGCCAGTTGCAGTTTTATTATTTCCCTTGTGCAGGAAAAGAGTTTTCTGCCTTCCTCTGAGGAAATCCAGAGAAAGGCAGCCATAGGTATTAGTTAGCAACTAAAATTATTAGGCTCTGTGTTAGGCCCTCAGCTGCTAGGCAGCAGGGATCCCAAGACGGGGACCAGCCCATACTTTCCAGGACCCCCCACTATTTAGGGGTCAAAGACTTTGAAAGTTGTACCTTCTGTACAACTATATAATATATATAATTTTGTGGTGAGCCAAAATTTTAAATAGAGTTAGCAAGTACCAGAAAGGCCACAGAGGTTTTACCTCTTCTTCCTAATTTCAGGACTTCACTGTATTTCAATCTCATAGCAGCTTTGGTTTTCTGTAGGCTTATGACATGTTTAGACTGCACCTTGAATTTAAAAATGGAAAATTTCATATAAACATTCCAATGTTCTGCTTTCTCTTTGGAAAGCTCTGGTAACACTAGCCTGCATTAGCACAACAGCTGTAGTCGAGTAGCAGCAGTATCCTTTAGGAGCAGTTGATGCCAGTCACTCCCCACTCTTCTCTATTATCTGGTCTGGCTCCAGAGGGCATTTGCCCTATATTCCTCTGTGTAGACTTGTATTGTCATTTTTCTTCTGCCTGAAGGACTTGTTTCAGTGTGTTTCTGCTGGTGATAAATTTGTTCAATATTTGTAGGTCCAAGAAAGTCTTTATTTTGCTTTCATTTATGAAAGATAATTTTGCTAGGTATAAATTTGTAGCTAGATTGATTATTTCAGTACCTTAAAGACATTCCTCTTCTGTCTACCTTATTGCTTCTGATTAAAAATCTGTCATCTTTTTGTTCTTTACATACATAATGTGTCTTTTTTTCTTTATCACTGATCTTTAGGGATTTGATCACAGTATTCTTTGCTGTGTTTTTTCCTGTGTTTCTTGTACTTGGGAATTGTTAAGCTTCTTGGATCTATGTGTTTATCATTTCTGTCAAATTTGGAAAAGGTTTTAGCCATTATTTCTGATGACTAATATTTTCTCCAGTTTACCAATATTTTTTCTGTCCCCCTACTCTCCCATCTCTTTTGGAGATTTCCAGTTACACCTCTATTAGGGCTGCTTGAATTTGTCTCAGATCAATGCTCTGTTTATTTTTTTTAGTTATGTTTTTTTTTCTGTTTCAGTTGGATAGTCTCTATTGCTGTGTCTTCAAGTTCACTGATATATTCTTTTTCAATGTCTAACCTGCTTGGAGGCCCATCCAGCATATTTTGCATTTCATATATTGTAGTGTTATCTCTGGAATTTGTATTTGGGTCTCTGTTTTGTTTTTTTCAATCTTTCTTGTCTCTTTGTAGCTCTTTGAAATCTGGACTACAGTTTTAAAATAGTTTTCATATCCGTGTCTGCTAATTCTGTCATCTGGGGCAGCTTCAGTTAATTTATCTCCTCATTATAGTCTTATGTTCCTAGTTCTTTTCCCAGGTATGATCATTTTTGGTCAGATACCTTTTGAGGGCTGGATATTTCTATGTTCCTATAAATATTCTGGAGCTTTGTTATGAGATACAGGTCACTTGCAAACAGATTCTTTCAGGTCTTCCTGTTAAGATTTGTTAGGCAAAACTGGAGTAGTGCTCTGGTAAGGGCTGATTTGTTCCTCACCGCCAGAGGTAAGGACCCCACTTTTACTCTACCAGTTATCCCTCGATCTGGAGGCTTTTCACTGTGGCTGATGAGAACAGGCATTGTTCTGGCTCTGAGAGCACAGGGCACTGCAACTCTAACCTGGTAGTTCTTTCCCTGGCCTTGGGTGGGTGGTTTCCTTAGATGCACCCTCTGAACACTGTTCAGCTGAGTGCTCAAAGGCGAACCCGCTGCAGATCTTTGGAACCTCCATGTGCAGACCTCTCTTCTGCGGCCTGTGCTGCTCCAGCTGCCTTGGTTCCACCCCTTAACTTTCAGCTCAGGAACTTCTCCACAGGCCTTCTGGTCCCCCCCAGTTTGTGCCTAGGCTTAAAAACTGTGCGAAGGCTGTGAGCTGGGTGATTATAAGGCTAATCTCATTAGTTTCCCATCCCTCAGGGATCAGTGTTCTTAGTTTCCTGGCATCTAGTGTCCTGAAAACCATCGTTTCATACATTTTGTCCCTTTCTGGTTTTTCCAGGTGGGAGGGTAAATCCAGTCCCTGGTACTCCCATCTTGACTGGAACCTAAGTCACCAACTCTCTTTGTTTATTGAATTGAAATTCACATAACATAATGAATTATTTTACAGTGAACAATTCAGTGACATTTAGTATATTCACAGTGTTGTACGACCATTACCTGTATCAAGTTCCAAAACGCCCCAAAGAAAACCCTATAACCATTAAGCAGTCACTCTCCGTTCTACCATCTCCCCAGCTCCTGACAACCACCAGTGTGTATTCTGATTCTGTGAATGTACTTACTCTGGGTATTTTGTATAAAAGGAATCATATAAGATGGGGCTTCCGATGACTGGCTTCTTTGAGCATGTAGCACAGTGTTGTAGAGGCTCATCCCCATTATAACACATCAGTATTTCATTTGTTTTCATGGCTGAATAATATGCCACATTTTGTTAAACTTTTCATCTGTTGATGGACATTTGGGTTCTTTGGGCTGTCATGAATGGTGCTACTATGAACGTGGGTATAAATGTGTTTGTTTGGATTCCTGTTTTCAGTCCTTTTGGGCATCTACCTGGGAGTGGAATGTTGATCCTATGTAGTGCTCTGTTTCACTTGTTAGGACCCACCCAACTATTTTCCACAGTGGCTGAACCATTTTATATTCCTACCAGAAATGTATGAGATTTGTAGTTTTCTCACATCTTGGCCAATAATCTTTTTTTTAAGTATCCTATTGAGTGTGGAGGAGTATCTCATTGTGGTTTTGATTTGCATTTCCCTAATGATTAATGTTCATAAAAGATGTTGAACATCTTTTCTTGTGCTTAGTGGCCATTTATATATCTTCTTTGGAGAAATATTTATTCAAGTCGTTTGCTCATATTTGAATTGGATTATTTGTCTTTTTGTTGACTTACAAGGATTCTTTTTTAATAGGACAACAATTAGTTTACCATGGTCCTAAGTAAAAATTTTGATATTCTTCACATTGAGTCAATTTTTAAAAATAATTAAATTAACCCTTCATGTATTGTTGAATATTGAGGTTGTTGTGGCTTTTGGCTGTTACTAATAATTAATTGATTACAAAGTACTTACAAATTAAGTGGGTGGGGGGCAGGGTGGGGAAGTGTGGTCTGGGAACTGGAATCCCTGTTACTTATAAATTAATTGCTGTGGTTCTTTCTGGAACATGAACACGTTGCAGATCTTGCCAGTTCTTCTGAAGGGAGTGTGAGCTCATAAAGCCACCAGTGGTTCCAGTGTCTCTGGTTTCATCGCAGACTTGATGAGACTTAGGTCATTCCACAGGATGCGTTCTGCCAATGAGTACAGAATAGCCCTTCGTTGTTGCTTTTGTCTCTTGGATTCCCAGTAATGTACGCTTTGCCGCAGAGTCCTTGGGAAGTGCCGTTGCAGATAGCGCAGGAGGAAGACCCCAGTGATGAAGGGGAGGGAGCCTGCTGTGGTGTTTCAGCTGATCCTTGCGTTCTCTGTTTCAGGCACCATCATGACTCCAAGCGGAGGAGATCTGATGAATTTAGGCCCCAGAATTACCACCAGCAGGATTTCCGACGAATGTCTGACCACCGCCCCCCTATGGGGTACCATGGCCAGGGACCTTCAGACCATTACCGCTCCTTCCACACAGACAAATTGGGGGAATATAAACAGCCCCTTCCTCCACTGCACCCTGCGGTCTCAGATCCTCGCTCGCCTCCTTCCCAGAAATCTCCTCATGATTCCAAGTCACCCCTGGATCATAGGTCTCCTTTGGAGAGATCACTAGAACAGAAAAACAACCCAGATTATAACTGGAATGTCCGGAAGACATAGAGGCCAGATGGGAGAGAAGGGAGAACAAGAGTCATTGAGCACCTGGATATTTTTGGTCTGATCCGACAGAAACCAGTTACCTAGACCAGTAAGTGGCTTCTGGACATGCTGCTGCTAGCTCGCCAGCTGAAAGCACTTCAAGGAGTGGGAGCCTTTCGCTCAGTCCAGCTTTGACTTGGGTCCCCGCTCCTGCACTTTGACACCCATCCCATTCCTGCCTGGCTCTGGCCTCCCACTTTGATGGGTGCTAGGAGGAAGAAGAGACTTCGTGTGCCAGCTTCATGGGCTGTGTTTCCCCAGTGGAAGAGGAAGGGATCTCAGAGCTGTGAATGTTTTATTGCCAGGGTCAGTGTACCCTGAACCTGGTGCGGCGGTCGAGGAAGGAAAGTTTGCATGAAGGCCGCTGGGACCCGCTGGACAGCACGTGATTCGGTTCGCTGTGATGTGACAGATGCTGCTGGTGGGGAGCGGGCGGGAACAGGAGGTTGGGGTCTCTCTCATCATAGGACTTGAAGTGGAGCAGGTATACCCCTCACATGTGTTCTCGGGAAAAACAATGCATCGGGTCTTGTTTTTACGTCCCCTGTGGTGCAGGGGCTAGAGGGAGAGAAGCAACCCCCACAGTGGCTCTTCCCTACCAACACTAACTTCCTACACTGTACATTTCAGAGGTTTGGCCTCTTGAGTGGGTCTCCTTTGCTCCCTGTGCCAGGGAAGTAGGATCCATCTAGCTGGCTTTTTTGAGTACTGTGAGTTAGGCAGTACTGAAGTTGGCATGGGTCTTACATGGTGGGGTACGAGCTGAATGAGGGGAGAGGGCGGGGGCAGGGTGGGGTAGTATGGCCAGGGAACTGGAATCCCTGCTGGATTTCTGATTCCTGTGATAAGAAGCAAAACTACAGGGCCTGGAGAGAAGGGGGAAGTGGAGGCAGGCCTGCCGACCAGCTTGTTGCTGGCATGCGCCAAGTTGGGGTGCTAGACGGGGGTGAGATTTTTAGTGCGGGGCTGTGGGAGTGCCGGTGAGTGGGGAAGGCTTCAGTGTTGTACTCGGTCAGCGTTGGCAGCTGCCTCCAGGTTCTCTTTGCACAGCTTGAAGGAGTAGATCACACAGAATCACACATCTCTTGACACTCACATGGTGGGTGGACAGATGAAAACGAGTTACCTGTGGTGAACAGGTCTCCACTGTTAGTTGGAGATATTAACGTTGAACTCAGTTTCTTTTAGAAGGAGGTAAGTAAAGTGAAACTTTTCCCACAGTGGGAAGCCCCCAAGGACAGGGTGGCCAGGCCACAGATGTGAGAGCCACGCTGGAGCCGGACTGAGCCCGAGCTGGGGAGGCAAGCTGGTTGCATCAGTTAGGCGGGCTCCCTCCGTTTTCCTGACCCTGGGCCTTCTGATTGATGCATTTTAAATACAGCCAGTATTGTTAGAGTGTTCAAGGGCCTTTCTACGTGGAGACAGAATAACTGACTTGAACATACACTGTGCCTGTAAGTGTCCAGGCTCAGAACTGGTGAGAGCCCTTCCACTGGGCATACCCAGGGTCATACTCCCTGAACTATCCTGTGGAGACTTGGTAAAATCATTTCCATTTACTTGCTGGCATCCTGGCAGCACCATTAATGCCTTTACTAAGCAATGCCTGAGCTATACACCCAAGGGAAGTGGATGTGGCCTTGGTGGGCTGCCGCCCCTTGCTACCCGAGGAGAATCTGGGTCCTCACAGCTTGTGCTGAAAGCTTGGGGGACCCACACCACCTTACATCTCCTCATGGTATTTGGGGTTGTCACCTTGGGCTTGGACCATGAGTTCCTGGAGCAAAGCCCACAGGGCTGCAGGGGAGCCCCCGGCTAGTCTTTCCACTGAGGACACTCTGTGACATCTCCGTGGGGACATGTGAATCACATCTCTCCTCTTGACACCACAGGTTCAGCTTCTTGCTGACAATACTGACACTACCCTGTGGTCGTGTTGCTCAGGCCCAACAGGAGGTTAAGCTGGCTTGCCGGGTCTTTAAGTGATGGGTGGTGAGGGTGGCAGGGGACGAGGGGAAGACAGGCCTCGTCATCCTGTTGGAGGTGTGGTGTTTCCTTCCACTTAGAGGAGGCCAGGAGGAGGAACTGGACGCCCTGTGTTTTTCATCCAAGTCTTTTTTCTCTGAAGTTGTTGATAGGACATGTGAGTTATTCCCAAAAATGTCTCACCATGAGGAAAAAGGAACTACTTTTTGTTCACATTCGGGACTTTTAGTGCCATATGATGTAGCAGAAGGCAGTATCAGCCAGATCAGTGTTAAATTCATTATAAAATTACAGTATCCCCATAAATGCATCTATTCTAGGTGTTGAAGTATGTTTGAAGAGTGGGTTGGGAGAAAGGCATTTCCTCATTGACCTAAGTCAGTATGAATACTGTATGCTTTTATCAAAAACAGAAGTTTGCACAGGTAGAAAATCTCTCACTTGTGGGTGGGAGAAGCTGCCCCAGGAAATCTGTGAGGAGGATATTCCATGGAGCCTGCCGAGCTTTGAAAGACATGGGTAGAAACGGCAGGGTTGAGGAAGAGGGGAGTGAGCACCACCTCAAACCTGGACAAGAACAAGGATTAACATGGCATACAAAAGACCCGCAAATGGTCATGGTGAAGCCCAGGCTCACTGCGGTCTGCCAGAGCTGGCAGGAGAGAGTCTGGCCCTCCGCAGAGCCTGACCTGCCTGGTGACCCTGGGCTCCCTCTCCTAGTCATTCCTTAAGCCCTTCCACGGGAAGTCAGAACACTTACCACATCATGCTGCAAAACTTCTAGCCTGATGTCTGGAAGTTGCATCAGGACGTGCGGTGCAAACGCAGTTCAGTTAGAATTCACACAGTGACACTGAAAATCCTCACACAGTGAGACCAAAATCCACTAGTCAGCAGGAGCGGGGGCCAGGGCCCAGCACCAGTGGTCTTCTGGCTTGTCTGAGGGTTGCCGTGTCAGGCGAGGAGGGCCAGGCCAAGGGTCCAGGCTGCTTTAGTCCATCTGCGCCTCACCAATCTGGGGGACAGATGGTTTTTCTTTATTGTAAAATTGTGGACTTTTAAAACCTGTTGACTAAACAGTAATTAATTTATATTTGTGAAAAATGCCACTGTCCTAGTGATTTCTGATGTAAATAATGTTGTTTATATAGTATGTATTAAATTTTCCTACATTGTAAAACTGCTGTACTTTTGATTCTTGTATATTAAAAAGTGTTAACTAAGGATTTTTAGAACTGGGCAAACATGCTGCATTGCAATGGCATGAGCTGACTGTTCACACACCACCTCATCTCCCCGTGGTTACTGGGCCATCAAATTGCTTGACAGCTTGTGAAATGGAGACGAGTTTAAAACTGCGTTGTTCTTCCACCCCTTGTCCCTGGGCCCAGGACGGTACCGGCAGGTTTCTGAGGTCTGCCGTGTAGCCATTGCTGAGCTGAGTGTCCTCTGGCCAAGTAGCTCCAGTCTGCTGCCTCCGTCCTTGCGCTTGATGAGCTGGCGGAGCTGCAGTGGCTGGGCTCCCGGCTGCCCTTAATTTCCCATGTTGGTAATGCCAGGGGGGATCCTGGGAGACTTGGAAGGTGCCTGTGAAGACCTGATCCTGTCCAGACAGGGGTCCTGTAATCCCCTCTATCCAGAGGAAATAAAAACAGCCATGTCTGCCAGCCTGCAGCTTGAGTAACAGTGGGGTTACATATTCTTGAAGTTGGGGAAAAAAGCATTTTATAATGGAAACGCTGACACAAATGTTAACTAGCAATTTGGCATGGGGACAGGCCTAGCTCCTGCAAGGCCCAGACAGAGGAAGGGTGGCATGGCCTGTGGGCGGAGATGCTGTCTAAATGGGGGTTAAGAGAAGTTTGCCAGACCCAAGTGGTTTTATGAATACTTAGGTGACCTCAGTCTGTGATCTTTGTGAAGCTCTTAATTCTCGATACCAAGTAAACCCACGTGTCAGCTCAGAGTTGAGGGATTAAATCCCAGGAGTGTCAGTCAGGAGACTGGACTGCAGGGTCTCAGCCCGGCCTGTGCTGTGAAAGAGAGGCCAGGGCTTGTAGTGCATGTAGTTCCTGAGTCGGGGACTCAAAGAAGAGTGAGGGTTCTTCCTGCCCATACATAACACTCAACTCACATTCGTGTTACAACTCACAACTCAGCTGGAACAATTTTGGGAAACTTTAAGAACAAGTGCTGCAATAATCAGCTTATTATGATTTACAATAGCAACAAGGCTTCTAAACTGACTGCTGCCAAAATGCCTGCCTTTTACTGGAAGCAGCAGGCCCAGGCTCCCTCCCTCCCTCCCTCCCTGGTGGGGCCTTGCAAGTCTGGCATCCGGGCAAGCCCTCCTCAATTAGCGCCAACAGAAAGGTCACTTACTGAAACACAAGTCCCTGCAGTTTGCCAGACCGGTCTGGGCTCCGGGTTCCGACCTGTAGCTCTTAAAGGAGCAGGACCAGGTCTGCCGCAGCCGCACCGTCCTAACTGAAGTCCGTACCAGCCCTGCCCAGCACGTTTTGCAGTTGGAATCCCACTCGGTCATGCTGCCTCCCAACCGGCCTTTAGTACTCTGCTTTGCACACTGGGGAGGAGTCGCAGTGGAACCGAAGAAAAGCTCTTTACTCTGTAGAAACCCCGGGCAGGCCCGTGCCTGCCCCGCTGCTGCTGGGGGAAACCCTACCCGACCCTTGACATCTGAGTATTTCCTGGTTGGTTCTGGATGTCTTTTTCTTAGTTTCTCACATGACCTAAGGGGTTTGTCGTTGCTAAAGCTGACCATGTGCACTGAGGTTGCCGTCCGGGGCCCCGGCTGGTCTAAAGAGGATGGGCTGGAAAGTCAGTGCATTGTCCCCATTTGGTCCCTCCCTGTGTGAGTTTGGGCATATGGCCTTGTCATCTTCATTCGCAAACAGAAGCAGCTTATAGGGTTAATGTAGTTTTTACATGAGAGCTTACATGGCAGAAATACGGTGTGTAAACCCTAAGGGCTACCCAGAGGGACACTTCATCAGTTCTTGGCTGGGAGGGGTGGGGCCGAGGAGGGGGAGGTTGGGGGTAATTGAGGATAGAATTTTCTGGGTCTGGAGGGCCAACCTGGCTTAGCATTGCCCCCCAGCAGCCCTACTCCAGAGCTGGTGAGACCCTCAGAGCCGCCCCTCTTGCAGCCCAGCTTGCTGGAGGAACCCAGGACAAGGGCTTGCTCTAGGGGAAGATGAAGCCCCAGGAGGAAGGCCCAGCAGGGACTGGAACCATCTGAACCAGGAGAGGAAGCAGCTTCCTCAAGCCTCAGCTACCAAATTCGGACAATGAGACCCCTTTGCCAGGCTGTTGGGGGTGGGCGGTGAGTGAGGTTACTGAGGTGATACATCTTTTGGGCTGGGCACCTGTCATTATCACCGTGACATCCTGAGACCTCTAGCACCCCACATGGATCCTCTGTTGTGCTTGGGCCCTGATGGAGGGCCTAGAGTGAATGAGGTTCTAGAACTGTCCTGCAGAGGGCAGCAGACTTCCACAAACAGCCTGCCTCGCGGGCACCACCTGGACCCAGCCCCGGCGCGGGCTCAGCTGTCCTTCCCCAGCCCAGCGGCCACTCCCTTGGCGGAGGAGCTCACACAGGAGCCAGACACGTGGAGCCACATTGTCCCTGCCCAAGTGTGATGGAGACAGGGAAGAGCAGTGCGGAGAAGCTGCAGGAGAGGCCCAGGGACAGCACTGACCAGCGGGGGCCCAGCCTCCTAGGGGCCCGGCCAGTCCGGCAGGCTCTCTGGCCCGTGGCTGAAGGGCAGTCCTGCTTCACCCTCACCTGCAGCCACTTAGGGGATCCACAGGCTTCTCCGCTCCTGCCCGGCCCAGCCACTCCTCCCTCCCATCCCCCCAGCCTCGCTCTGCTGCTCCCTGTCACCTCACCTGAACTCTGAGCGCCCTGGTTGGGGTCCAAGGCCCTCTATGCCCTGCCCCTGCGGGCCATACTGAGCTTTCTCTCTGGGTCAGCCCAGACTGCCCTTGCCACCTAGATCTCAGAGGCAGAGCTCTGCTGCTAGGCTGCCCCCCTCCCCTCCTCCATCACCTCGAGCTGCCAGCTGAATCCTGTTCATCTTCAAGATCCAATAAAAGCTGTTTCCACTGAGCTGCCTTTGCTGACCCTGCTGTCAGGTCGCACCCGTCTGTCCCTTCCCTGGGCCCATAGATGCTGTGAGAGGCCCTGGCGCACTCTGGTGACTCCACGCTGTCATAGCTGTCTGCCCCAGCAGACAGGGGCTCCCCCTGGGGCTCTGAGCCCCCCTCAGCACAGGCCAGGTATGTGCTGGGCAAGGGGCTCTCTGTCTTGAAGTGCCCAGAGATGGGGGTATGGTAAGGGGGGGTGCTACCGTCTCTGGGTGCTCAGGCTGGGGTTTGGAAAGAATTCAGGTCCCAGGCAGCAGGCCCTCTTGACCAGAGGCATATTTAACAAAATTAGAAGTCAGTTCTGCCTTGTGGAACAGGTCCTAAAGGAACCCCAGCATGCTGGGTGTTACCTCTGCATTTGCTGGATTGTGGGAAGGTCCGGAACCTTCAGGACGCCTATTGGAAGGGAGATGCAGCCTTAGAGGCCCAGGGCAAATAGTAAGTGGAGGCAGCTTACTGAGCATTGTGACATTGCTAGAGTATCCATTCCTTCACTGGGGAGGGGCTCTCTGTGCCAGGAGGGAGGTGGCAGAAAGTATGAAGGTGGCCACATCAGGGTGGAGACCTGAACAGCCTCACAGAAGAGGGACCCCCAGGTCCAGAAGGAAGATTCAGAGCCCTCGTAGCAGCTGGGCCAGGAGCATGGGCACCGGTGACAGTGTCCATCTTCAAGTCGGGCTGTGTGCCTGACTGACCTCTGTGACCTGGGGTCAGGGGTTCACCTTCTGGTGGAGGGACAGTACTACCCAATGGATGGGGCAGCAGTGCCTGGCACGTGCTAAGCTCATGCTAAATGCAGGATGAACCATCATTACTGTGGCCCATTCCCTAGGCTGCTGGTGCACAGGCGACCTGTCCTGGCCTGGTGACCTGTCCTGAGGTCAAGACAATACCGTGTCCCTCCCCCGATCCTCTGAGAGGCTGGGGATGAAATCTCTGTGACCAAAATGAGCCAGGTTCGCTAATTCCCGTCTGACTGTGAGCTAGTTCAGTGTTTCCCAAACTTGGGAAACATCAAACAGATGTATGATGGGGCGGATAGTTTTTAGGAAGAAAATTGGAGGAATTTAGGAAGTTTTAAAAATGTTTTCATTCTTAAGGAACTTCTTTTAAAATCAGCTTCAGCAAATCCTGGATCATTTGGAAAGGTGGGAGAGAAAAAAGAACCCAGGACTTTTGGGTTATACTGGTGTCCAGGGGTCTGTGCTCTGTACCAGGGTGGATGGGGGCACACGCCCGGCAGGTCTCAAGAGTCTAAGAATGAAAACCAGAGGGGAATGAAGCGATTGCCTGGTGCCCATGACGGGCACCTGGGAGGAGCCTGGGCCTGCACAGTCCCTGCCGGTGTCATGGAGATGGCCTGCTTAGTGCCCGCAAAGCAGTATCACTGTGACTTTAATGTGTTGGCTTGAGTTGTATTGGTTTTGTAGTTTTGTTTGGGTTTAATTAATAAAGGTGTCTTGATTTTATACTTGAAAGGAATTATAACACAAAGAATTTATACTTGACCTCATGAATAACAAAACTAACTCCAGCCATGGAAGGCCTGGAACAATCTCAGCCCCGAAAAGGGGTCTGTGTGTTATGTGTGTTTTAGGACCTTGAGCTGGTCATGACCTACACTCAGGAGTCAGTGAAACAGACCATGCAATGTGCCTGTGGGCAGAAGCCACCATCTATAGAAAGTTACAGGCTCCAGGACTATTGCTTTATTGTCTTTTTAAAGGTTTAGTCCTCATGAAACACCATAGGGTAGGATTTATCCCCATTTTTCAGTTGAGGATCTTGAGGCTCAAAGACTTTCTGTAACATGCCCACCCAAGATCACACAGCTAGGAAGTGGTACAACTCACATTCTGACTCAGCTTCTCCCGCCTCGAAGGGCCAAATCTGTCACCGTCTCACTCAATGGCTTCTCCTACTGTCATCCAAGTGCCTTTGCACCCAACAGCCCTGTGAACCAGTCCCATTCCTTCCCCAGGTTGTAGATGAGGAGGCACGTGGGACAGGCTCAGGGTCAGCGAGGGGGCCCAGTGCCGTGCCACTCCCTCACCGTTCCACATCCCTTCCCTGCTGGGCTGTCACACTGTGTAACTCGAGCATCGCCTGCTTCTGAGCAGATGGTGTTGGGAGGGTGGGCACAGTCACCCACTGTTTCCATGACACCTCCTAGGGCCTAGTTAAGTGTGTGTGGAATAAATTAAGGTATCCCTAAGATCTGGACCAGGTCTGGACGTGTGAGGGATGCTCCTACACACGCCTGTGCAGGGAAGGAAGGGAGAGAGAAGGAGAATGGCTTGTATCGCAGTGTTAGACCAATGGGAGGGATGCCCAGTGAGAGGAGGCCATGGGCACTTGCCTTAGGGATTCAGCTCCGGATGGTTAGTAAACTCCCCAAGGCAGATACTGGCCTTGTCCTGCAATGCCCCAGGGAGAGGGGGGCCCTGGCCCTGCACACCTTGGCGTTTGGTTCCTTGTGATCCAGGTCCCCAGCCTTGGCTCAAGGGCCCCCTGGCAGCTGTGCTCACCAAGCTCCTCTGATGGAGCCTCGGCTTTGAGCCTCCCGAACCCAAGCAGATGGCTGGAGGGGCGTTTCACTATGATAGGTCAGTACTTGCTTCAAACACTTGGCAGGGGGCTGGTGCATGGCAGGTGTGCACAAAATGTAACTTGTGAATTGGTTGAATGACTCCAGCCTCCATGCAAATGGAGGGGGGTCCATAGCAGCTAGATTATGTCCATGATTGCCAAGAAGGCTTGTCCCCCACCTGGGGAAGCCATGACCATCTCCGGACCACAGTGACCCAGCTGAGACCCCACTGACACCCTAGCACCAGCTCCTTGTTGGACCCTGAGCCTCTCAGGCTTCCTATCTGGGGGTCCCTCTTCCCCATCCTCCTCCTCTACAGGGCCCAGCTTGAAGTCTCCCTACCCACCTGTGCGGGTCTGGCCGGCCCACTCCTTGCTCACCCTAAGCCCAGGAGCCATGGGCTGAATCCCCCCACCTGCTTTGGGGCTCCTGAGCCCTGTCTGCCTTTGAGGGTGCTGGTGCTCATCTAGAAACTAGAGCAATGGCATCTGCCTGCGAGGGCTGTTATGAAAATCATCAGAGCACTTGAAAGACTCAAGGGCATGTTCAGATGTAGGTATTTCTCTTCAGGATAATCACGCGAGGGAGGTACTGTCATTACCGCCCATGGCTGACACGGCTGGGGCCCAGAACGATCACATCTTGCCTCCTGTCACCCAGGCCCCATGGAGGGTGGCTCCAGGCATGACCCCCTCCCATGAAGATGGTGTGGCCTGGCGGCCTGAGAAGGGAGGTGGCCGACACCCGGTGGGTGTCTCTGCTTTGCCCGGGGCTGTGGATTTCTCTTATGTTCTTGCTTCTCATTTCTTGCATCCGTCTTCCCAAGCACCCCTGTGGTAGACGTACCACCTTCAGCTTGCAGATGAGGAAACAGGTTTCAGGTCACACAAGCCAGCAAGTGGCAAGGCCAGGAGTGGAATGGGGCTCCTGGCCCACTGAGGCTCCAGCATGTCTGCCTGTAGCTGTGTGGGGAGTTGCTAATTCCCCTCCCAGGTTTCCCTGCTATTCACTTAACTTTCCCTTAAAGTTTAGCATCGTTTTCCTCATCAGCATCAGAACGTCTATCCATGCCTAGTTTGATACTGGGTGTAGAACCCCATTTCAGGGAGCCAGATGTCCTTTTCTGAGCCTGTGGCCTGAGTCCCCCCATGCTGTGGGGCTCCCAAGATTCTCTCTGGAGTGTGGCCTCTGGACGTCTTTAGCCCCCATTCACTGACAGCCAGGAGACACACTGCAGGTCTCCTCACCAGCCACGGCTTTGCAACTGGAGAGTTTACAACATTTAAATTTAAAACTTAAAAACAGTCCAGCTGCATGTGGTCTCTAGCATGTCACAAATAAAATTTTGATTTCAGTGTCCCAAAGCTGCTCCTCCTGAGGTCTTCCCAGGCCCAGCACAGGGAACCAGGGCTTACCCAGTACCCTTTCTCCCCTGGTGATCCCGGGTGCTCTGTGCTCTAGAGAGCAGCTGGAATGATTCCTCTAAGACCCAAGTCAGGCCTCACTTCCATGCTCAAAGCCTGCTGTTGGCTCCCTACGGCCACTGGAGCGAAATATCAGGAGGCCTGCCATGCTCTGGCTGCGTGCTGCCCTCACCTTGGACCCTGAGCCACCTACCTACTCACTGCTGTCCAGTCACGCTGCTCTCTGCTGCCTCTTAAGCTCTCTGGGCTGCTGCTGTGTCCGGCCTTTGCACGCATGGACCCCTGCACAAAATGCTCGCCCCAGGTCTTTGCATTGCTATGCCCCAAACTCACTGCCAGAGGTCCCCCTGACCCTCCAGAAATGAAGGTTCCTCCCCACTGGCCCCCCAGTCCAGGGGGAGCCTCTCTCAACCCTTAAACTGCTTCAGGACTGGTCCTCATAGGCGGCTTGATCATGTAATTATCTGGGTATTGACGTGCTACCTGTTAACATTCACTGCTGGACGCCCCCAGCACAAGCAGGCACGAACGAGCTCTCAAATAAAGCAACAAACACACACTGTTGTTGCAAAGGCAGGGACTGCCATGTTGGTGGCCTCCCTGCGTTGTGCCAGGGCCCACGTGCAGAGTAGTTTATGAGTCTTGGCTCATTGGACTTCTAAAGTGACCTTGGGAGGTAGGTACTCATAATTCTATTTTACAAATAAGGAATCTAGGGCTCAAAAAATCCAAGGGAGGCCACACAGCCAGCGACAGGCAGAGCCAGTTTGGACGCCAAAGTTGGCCTGCCACTCAAGCCCAAGTGCCACCCCCTGCCCCACGGGCCTGCTGGCATTACTGCAAGGAGCCCCACTCAGGCCTGGCTCAGGGGTGTCTCTGCCCAAAGGTCTGCCCCTTTCATTACAGGGGACCCTCATCCATTTGGTTTCACGCCTTTTCTGGCCTGCCTCCCATCCTTACACGTTCTGGTTTGCTAAACAAGGTCTCCCACGTTCTCACCACACATCAGGGAGTGAGGACAGAGCTCAGAGGCAGGACACCTCCTGTGCTAACGGGTTTGCCCCTGGGCTGCTGGCCTCACCTAAGCCGGCACAGAGGAGTCCCTCTACGCCAGGCCTACAGCGGGAGCTGAAGCTGCTCCTTGGAAATCCTTTAGCTGGAGACGCTGTGCTCCGTATTCATGATGAAATGCAAATTTCCATGTTCAAGAGGGCAACTAGTAGCATGGTGCATGGAAAAGGATTCCAGCTGGTTAAATGTAGGGTTCTGAACAAATTCCAAACCAAGAATATTTCCTGGCAAGTGCCACAGCATTTTCGTCTGATGGTGAGTGAGGTTCTTTTTTTTTTTTTCCAGTCCTGTGTGCCCTAGCTTCCCAATAATCTGTTCTTTTGCGCTGGCCAAGCTCTGCTGCCTTGGCGGGGCCTTCCCCATGGATTATTCCATCCCAGCGGCTCCTGAGGGTGGGGCGTGTCGGTGCAGACGGCTGGGGCAGCTGGGCAAGACGCGCAGGTACGTTCCAGCCGTGTTTTGTCTTTTCCAGTATGGGTTCCCTATTTCTGGCCTTCCTCTCCAGTCTGGGTTTGGAACTGGTGTACATGTGCATTCTGGTTTCCAGCCCCTGCTAGCCTTTGGGTTCACCTTCCTCTCAGGCTTCCAGGGCCCGTGTGACCCTTTCCCCTTTGACCCCGCCATGTCACTCAATGCCTCTTGCTGTGGTATACAGAGGTGTCAACATGGGACACTCACGGTGCCAGGCTCTGTGCTAAGTGTTTTATAGGGATTCACTCACTGAATCTCCAAACAACCTGATAGGACAGGTACTCCCCATTTTATGGAGGGAGGCACAGAGGCTCAGAGAGGTTAAGTGACTTGCCCACAGTCACAAAGTAAGGAAAGTGGAGAAGCCACTAGGCATGTGGCCTGGCTGAACGGTGCTCCTGTTCTGCTTCGTGACATCTGGTGTTAAGAACAGGGACAAAAGGCTGTGTGTGAGGAAGGGAACCCCGAGGAGGGTGGCACCTACCGTCCCAGGTCTGAGGCTCCTAGATTGAGGGTGGCAGCTGAGCTGGAGTCATCCCATCAGGCCAGCCCCCCCCTCAGCCTCACCCCATACGCACCAGGGGCCATCTGTCTGTGGGGCTGTGGTCCAGCCTCACCTGAGCCAGGGAAGCTGGGACCCTCAAGTCCCCAAAGCAGCTCATTGTAACTTGAGGGCAGCAGGGGGTTTTGTTGCTATATTGCTTCATTGTGTTCTCACACCCACGGCGCTCCTACACAGGTGTGCTTGCCCACATTCACTAGCTGCGCCCCACCATACACAAGTGTGACGACGTCCCACCCCCAAAGTCAGCTTCCCCCAGAAGGAACCGAAGGCTGTTCAGAAAGCAAACTCCAACATGTAGTCCGAGAGAAAGTAACAAACAAAAAACCCCAAACTTTACTTGAATTTAGCCATTAATAAATAATTTACAGTATGTACACGCGGTGACGCTCCACACAGGTCGCAGACACGAGGACACAGTGAGGGGTCCCCACGTCCAAGCAGAACGCCATCAAACAACCAAAATAAAGTGCTTCACTTTTTACTTCCAACATAGGGACCATCTAAAAACCAGCAGGGAGGGGCCGGGTGAGACCCTCCCAGCCTCCTGCCCGCGGTTTGGCAGAGAGGGAGACCTCTTGGAGGGGGAGGCAGGGAGCCTCCCGGGCCAGTGTATGAGAGGTCCCCGGGGAACAGCAGAGGGGCTGCCTTGGAGGCCGGGGGCAGGCGGGACCATGGGGTGCTGAGGGAGGCTGACCCTCGGGGCCCAGCTGCACCTCTGGGGGCAGAGCCCCGTCCCATGTGTCCCTAGGGTTCTCTGGATCAGCAGCAGAGGCGGGTGGGTGCAGCTCTCCTTGGCTGGGCAGCTGGGCTGACAGGAGGCAGGAGCTAAACCTCTCCTGACTGTGTGGCCAGGGCCTAAGGGAGGGGCCCGGAGTGGGGAGGCCCTCCAGGAACGCTCAGGGCTGAGGGGCCTGCTGGGCCCCGCCCCGCCCCAGAATGCAGCCCCAGTGGCCAGCGTGAGGAGGGGGGCTTGGGGCAACAGGTGAGGAGAGGGCAGAGGATGAGACCAGGCCAGCTGGCCCTATCCCGCGGGCTCCTGCCCCCCTCCGCAGCCCGGGGTTCTTGCTCTCTGCTGGAGGAAGGAACAGAGACCAGCGGCAGTTCTCTGTTCAGACATTTAGAAACAAGGGCTGGACTTGCTAAGCACAGTGGGGAATGGGGGACAGTGTGGGGCCAGAGGAGGGCCTCCAAGCCCACAAGTGGTGTTGCTCAGAGCACGTGCCAGCACACATGCCCCCTGGACTTCAGGGCTCTTGGGCAGAAGCCTGGTAACCGGGGTTGAGCTGGGCCGCAGTGGCCAGGCTGCCCGTGGTGGTCTCCTTCAGCCCACAGGGAGCCCAAGGGCAGGAAGGCACCAGGCAGGCACAATCTTTTGGCCGAAGTGTTACATCGATTGGTTAAGGATGCTGAGCAGCACCCCAGGGGGGTCCTAAGGCCCATGGCGCCAGGAGGCCCTGCCGGGGGGTCCTGCCTCACAGGTGCCTCGGCCCCGGTGGCTTAGTGTGTGAGTGTGCTCGTGTAAGAGTGTGTGCGCGTGCGGCGGGCGCAGGTGGCCCCCGGGCAGCAGTCGGCGGGCCTGACCAGTGCAGTGCAGGGGCGGGAGGGGCTGGCCTTGGCCCGTTCCCAGTGTGTCTGGATGGGGCTCCAGCCTGAGGGGCTCTGTTTTGTGCACATTCACACTGCGGGGTGGGTGAGGGGAGCGGCACCCTTGCACGTAGCTCTGCAGTCACAGATGTCACAGCTCCCGTCACCACAACCGCTTCAGGCCCGGGAGGGTGGGGGCCCCCTGGCAGCCCCGCCCCTGCCAGCAGACAGCCCGAGGTGGCTCCTCGGCACCTGTCCTTCCTGGGCACCTGTCCCATGGCCCGCTGGCCAGTGGCTGCCTCTGCTCCTGGTCCCCGCCGAGGTGCAGGGCCACCCGGGGCCACCAGCCCTTCCACGGTCGCCCACAGCTGGGGGACAGCGCCAGCCTATGCGGCCAGGGCTTCCAGGAACACAGGGAGCAGGGCGAAGACCAAGAGGCTGCCGACGAGGGGCCGGGAGGCCGGGGGGCGCCCTGCAGCCGCCGCCCGGTCCGGGAGCTCCCGCGTCCTCTCGTACAGATGTAGTCTGTCCTTGTCGGAGTGGAGCATCTTGACGTCCTCCAGGGCGTAATAGGCGGCCAGGGTGAAGTTCACATCCCCCGTGGTGAGCAGGTCGAAGACGCAGGCCTGGTAGTAGAGATCCTCCACGGGCAGCTTCTCCTTGCACTTGGCTGCGGCCGTCTCGTAGGGGAAGGTGTCCGGGGCTGCGGGCGTGGGGCTGGCAGCCACTGGCCACCGGGGGCCCTGGGGGCTGGCGCGGAAGGCCTGGAAGTCGATCTGCTGGTTGAGGGGGCAGCCCCGCAGGCAGAGGTAGAGGCCCTGGCTGTCCTGGTCCTCCACGGCGTTGACCACCTCCTCGGGCATGCGGACCGCGAAAGTCAGGTAGCGGCCCACTTGGCGAACCACAATGGTGGTGCCGATGTACTTGGCCTGGATCTCCACGTGCTGGCCTGACACCTTCTCGGTGATCTTGAGGCTGTTGGCCCCGTGCTTGTCCCCGCCGTTCTTGGAGCCGTCGGCGAAGGCGGCCGGGAGCTCGTCCATCTCGGCCTGGTACACCTTCTGGTCTACGCACTCCTGGAAGTTCTTAAAGATGATGGTGAGCTGCGGGGAGCAGCAGAGAGAGGGGTCAGCCGCGCGGCCAGGGAAGGCCCCGCCCCATGCTCACCGTGCTCTGCCCTTTCCGGAGGGTGGGGAGGAGCCCCCAGGGCGGCCCAGACATTCCGTCCCCATTCAGGACACAGTCTGGTGCCACCTGCACTATAAAGCATGGAATATCTTTCTTTAAAACAGCTTGCTTTTACTTTAAAAAGGGTTGGCTTAGGAAGGGAACTTCAACTTTAGATCGTACGCTAAATAGAAAACCAGCTCATTTACTGTATTGGGAAGAGAACCATTAAAAGCAAAGCAGAGCTAATTTAAAATAAAAGGTCGTTGTCCTTTACACGTAGGCTGAGCCACGGCCCCCACGACATCAGGCCCTGATCTCTGGAAGCTGTGAATGTCACCTTACACGGCGAAGGGGACGTCGGATGTGCCCTATATATAATCACAAGTGTTCTCAGTAAGGTGGAGGTGGCAGGTGTGAGCACATTAGTGAAGGCCACGTTTCCATGGAGGCAGACACTTGAGTGATGGGGGTCCCTCGGAGGGATGCTGGCACCCACCCGAGGCAGGAAATGGATTCTCCCCTGGAGGACTGGCCCTGTTGACCCCTTGATGCCAGCCCTGTAAACCTCCTTCTAGACACCTCACCTCCGGAACTTGGAGAGAATACACTTGTTTGTCTGAACCACTTAGCTTGTGATGTTTGTTACACCAGCAATAGGAAACTAATATGGTCCACAGCTGTACCCGTGGGTCTCATGCCGCCAGTGGACCTGTGGCAGAATTCCTGCGTAAGGACGGCAGGCCACGGGCCAGACATAACAGCAGGTGGAACAGAAGAGACGGAGGCTCAGGAGGAGAACGACTGGTGAATCACAGAGAAAATCTGGGTTCAGAGAGGCAAAGTGACTTGCCCAGGTCACACAGCAACCAGCAAGAGGCAGAGCTGGAATTGGTCTGTTGGTTTCCAGCCCCTGGGCTTCTTTAGTCATAAGCCTAGAGGACAGGAGGCCCGGGAGAAGGATGGGAGGATGGGAGACAAACAGCCCGGGCATCAGTGAGATTCCCACCCCGCCCAACCCCGCCATCCTGGGTGAGGTTTCTGGCTGGCCTTTCCGCCGTAATCCTAACAAGGAGCACTGGATGGGTCGGAGACACGAGTGAGACTGGGAGGGAAAGCACCAGCCCTGCTCCCAGGTGCCGGCTGTTTTACCACTGGTAGCTCCCTGGACTGAGGGCAGCCAGAACCTAGACCCACAGCCTGAAAATAGGGAGGGACGTGGGGTGATGGAGGCGAGATGGTGTCCAGGCCCTTTGGGACCCCCCTGCTATAACCCACCCCCAACTCCCACACTGCCCCCCACCCCCGCCCCATTCCCAGGCCTTGTCCTCTCATCCCTGCCACACAGGAGAGGAAGGGCTGGCTGGCTGGCTGACTATCAGGGCTCGTGAGGGGTACCACACCTCCCCAGTGGGTCTACGGGCTGAAGGGGCCCCGGCAAGCGGTGGGGGGGCCACTGCCAACACGTATGGCCTGGTCTCAGGTGAATTCTCCCCCTGGGCACTGTGGGGGTGTGGCAGTTGGAGGATATGCCCGCAACCTGGGAGGATCCTGGGGTACAAGGCAGGGCCAGGCGGTGCTCAGGGTTTGCTGACCTGACTGCAGGTGCCCAGGGCTGAGGCCCTGCCCTGTGAGAACCCAGAGAGGAGGCTGGCGGCAGGCCTGATGGGGAAGGGGGCAAGGTACAGCTGAAGGCCCTTCGCTCAGGCCGAGGGCGGGGGCCGGGGCTGGGCCGCAAGCCAGGGAGTGTCTGGCTGCAATTCCAGGGTGGCGGGGGGCACAGACAGGAGGCTGAGGGGGAACCTGGAAGGGAGTGGCCTTGGCAGCAGATGCTATGAGAGGCCTGAAGTCTGGACACGGGTGGCTTAGGGACCATAGAAAGTTCTAGGCTAAGCAAGCCAGCAGGGTTGCAAAAGCCCAGGTGGAGATGGGCTGGCTCTCTCATCACTGCTCGGCAGGTTTCCCCACGCTTGTGAATTTATGGGTGACTGGGCAGGGTGTGCATGGAGGCCTGGGACCTTCAGAGAGAATGGAGAGGGTGAGGGGCAGGCAGCGCTAGGACTTCTGGGGCCTCTAGGCCCTTCGGCCTCGGTGGGCCCCTTCCTCCATCAAAATAACCAACATTATGTTTGGTGCCTGCGCTGGTGTTAGGACAAACAGAGTCTAGGTCGGGTGATGTTGATCTTTTTCCTTCTGACTTTAGAAGATAAGGAAGCCGTTTTGGGAGCCCCTGAAGTCCTGAGCCATCAGGGTGCTGTGCCCATGGGGCCTGACAGATGACTGGCACGGTGGGTGGGGAGGCACAATCTGCTGTCATCATAGGTCATGGGGAGGGGCTGGGGCGCCAAGCTGAGGGCTGGAGGCCCCACCAGGGTCCCCGGAGCTGGATGTGTACAGCTCACTGGGCACTGCACACCGTTTCCCCATCTCTGTGCAGGGGTTCCAGGCCGCCTGGAGAGCAGTGCATTTTTGGTTTGCTGTAGGATCTCCACAGTGGCTGTGGCCCCTCCATCCGTCTTGAGCCCCATGCATTGAACTGCATGAAAACTGCCACTACTCTACTGTCCTAAGCCTGCAAAACAGCCCCTCCATACAGCGCCACCTCCTGGCTGCTCCCTTCTCACCATCCAACCCTCCCTGATGGGCAGGCAGCCTGCTGGGGGCGGGAGGTGGGCCGGCCCGGTGGTCTGGGCGCTGGGTGGTCCCACCGGCGCGGGCGGGGGCGGAGGGATGAGGGACTCTGGTGTCCCTGCCTGGTGTGCAGGGCCACACAGACACTGGTGGGTGGGGGCTGCTGTCTAAGCGCCATCAGTCCCCCTGGAACAGGAAAGGCTGGTTTCACTCTAACCGCCATCTCTCGTGGAGACAGCCTCCTGGAAGCCTGACAGGCTGCTTGACTCTTCTTGGCACCGGTGCCAGGGACTCAACCACAAGTAACAGCATGAAGGGGGCCTGTCGAAAGCCAGGCGGCATGCTGCCAACACGGCCACGGGCGCGGCTGCTGCTCCTGGTCTGTGCCGCCCCCCCTTCCCAGGGGGGCCCCAGGCCCTCTCCACTGTGCTGGGCACAGGGCAACTGGGTTCCATCAACAGCTATTTATGCAGCCCAGCTGCAGGCCAGGCCCGGCGCTGGGGGCTGTATCCACACAAGGAAACCCAAAAGTCTACGGCCCCGTCTTCACGGAGCTCACACTCCAGGAGGTCACACATGAATCGGGCAGCGTGACAGAACGGTGATATTGCAGGGAACCAGCAACGGGGGACAAGGGGGAAGATCCAGAGCTCCTCCCCTGCCTGAGCCTCAGTTTTCTCATCTGTAAAATGGGGTGCTACCAGCGTAGCTGAAAGCAGGGTGGAGGAACAGGGCAGGCAGGGGACTGGGCATGGAAGGAAGTCCCATGGGGGTGGGACGCTGGCTAAAATGTCAGCTTGGGCTGGAAAACACTACACCTCGATCACCCACAGCCCTCGAGAACTGAGGGCTGGACCAGTGTGGACTAAGTCAGTACCATGGGAAATGGGCTGAGGCTCCTGGGCATAGCCCCGCGGCTGAGGCTGGGCGGGGGAGAGCAGGCAGCGGGGTCCAGCCAGCAGAGGAGTCTGGCAGGGGGCTCTGGTGGGCGGCTCTACAGGCTGTTGCTGCCCACTCCCGTCCTTGGAGACCAAGCGCACTGAAAGGCCTTGCAGAAGGCTTGCCCAGTGCTCTGGGCCCCACTGGGGCCCCTCAAGGCCCTCAGCATCCTGCCCCCACCACGAGCACCCCTTTCCCAGTCTCTGTTAGCCATTGTAAGCCTGGGAGCTGCCGGGAGGAAGGGGACGTGGAGCACGGAGGCTGGCCCAGAAGAAATGTTTGTAAATGTTGGCTGGATCAATGAAGGGGCAAGCAACACACCTGAGCAGGGGCGCCCAGGAGACCAGGTGTGGGCAGACCAAGGGGCTGGGGACCAGCTGCTGCTGCTTCTCACCCGGAAACCATGAGGCTCCCAGACTGCTGGGATGATGGGGACTGGCCGGGCCACAGACACTGGCCCTGTGACCGCTGCAGCGCCTTGTGCTGCCTCCTGGCTGACGGAGCTGTAATGGAGAGCTGCTGAGCTCTCGGCCTGCAGGCGAGGTCAAGGTGGCCCACAGCAGATAAGGGCTGGGTTGGTCAAGCTGTGCTGCAGAGCCTCGCACCCTCTGGAAACTCCATGCTCGGGCAGTTCTGCTGGCCACAGTGTCCAGCGGGGAGCCTGGAGCACAGCAGTCTAGCCTGGGGTCCTTGTACAGCGGCACGTTCACCAACTGAGTGATTCTGTGTCCCCCTCAAAATCATGGGTCAAGTGAATGAGCGAAACACAAGAATGAATGAATGGACCGGTGGTTCATCCCTCTGGTGTTTTTGGGCAGCATCACTGAGCCCAGTGGAGAGCTGAGCATTGCATCTGGGGGTCCTAAGCCCAGGCACACAGTCCCAGCCTCCAGCACCCAACAGCACGTGGCCTAAAGGCTCCTGCTCCCCAGCACCCCTACCCAACTGGGGCAGCAGCCCAGCTCTGCTGGTCATGAACCACAGTTCCTCCCAGGTCTGTGCTTGGCTCTGTTATCAATTTGATGCCCACACCACCCTGGGTGAGGAAGGTCAGGCCTTCTGAGGTCCCCATCCTTCTCCCACCCCCAGACCTCCCTGTGTGCCCCTGCCAGCAGGGGACAGAGGGGCGGAGTTCCCTCCCACAGTGTGTTTGCTGCTGGGTTTAGAAGCCGCAGCCTCAGGCTTCTGCTGTTCATTTTTCTTGGCTCCGGGGAGAGGATAGGTGAAGGGCCACAGGGAAGGTGGCTGGGTCCTTGATTTAGGCCTGTGGAGGGCCGGCAGGGGGAAAAGGTACAGTGCAGACAGCACTGGCCACAATTCTGCTGCCCACCGGGTTTCACGGCCTGGTGCCACGGGCCTGCAAGGTCAGCCGTGGGGTTTCGACCCTCTTGTTTCCTACCCAGCACTTGGGCCCAGAAGGAGACCTTCTGTGGGCACTTGAGGGCCACCAGAGCAGAGAGAAGTGGCAGGAATTTTCCTGGCTTCCAGGTTACCTCACTGTCCTCCTTTGGGGTGTAGAGGGACAGGAAGGAGCAGCAACGCCCTCATGGGCCAGCCTGGCACTCCCGACATGCTGCCTTGACACGTGCTTTCCCTAGGGAAACACCCGCTGCCAGCCCGGGCACCCCAGGGGGCTTTAAGGGGCTGGGCCTTGAGGAAGCAGATGTGTCCCCAACACCTGGGGTCTGAGAGCCAAACAGCAGCCCACCCTTGAGGGGTGCCCCTGGTTGGATGGAAATGGGGGACCCTCCTGGAATCTGGGGTGGATGGGGAAGTCCCTCTGCCTGGGTCATGGGCCACCTCTGGGCTGCCTCTGCTGTGGCCCCATGAGAAGTACTTGAGTCCTGCTGCTTATACACTGAAGCCTCCTTGGGTCAGAAGATGACCAGCTCTCAGCGGCTTCTGGGACTGCAGATGGGAAATGCCTCTCGCGGCAGCGGGCACACACTATGCTCGAGTCACACAGCGGGCCAGGTCAAGTCCTAGCCGGGGGGTCCCAGGCAGCTACACTCTGGTGAGGAGGCTGTTTTGCCTCTCAGAGCCTCAGGCTCAGGCTGTGCCAGCTGGCAGGGCCCAAGGAAGGAGGGAGAGGCCGCCTGGGTGGCCCCTGGGGGCCCAGTGAGTGGCTTCTCCATCCTCACTCATTCCATCTGCCCTGTTCCCAGACACCACGGCCTCCCTCCTAGGTGCCCACGGCCTCTTAGTGTCGGTGTGGTGAGGACAGTACCCCGAAGGCCTGGCTGACCCCAGCAGCATCCCACAGCCCAGCCCCCCTACCTGGCGTCCCCAATGCCCTCTGTGCACCCGAATCACTGGGAGCTTTAAAAAAAAATAACACACATCTGACCCCACCCAGAGACATGCTGTCAGTTGACTGGGGGGGAGGGGGGAGTGGGTGCAGAATCACTGTCTCCTAAAATCTGCTAGTTTGTGAACGTGCAGCTGCACGAGGACCCCCGGCTGGACTGTTCGTCTCCAGGAGGTGGCCGGTCGCTTGTCCAGGGCAGGGGTTTGCTCCCTCTGGGCTGTAAGCCCCTTGAAGGCAACGATGGAAAGGTACCTGTAGAGAAGCTTCTCTTTGATCGGGTTTTAACACGGGAGTTCTACCAAAATACAGTTTGGGGCAAGAAAAGAATATTCCAGAAGTTTGGAACCCGGTGTTCTGCAGAGTGTTTCTAAACTTTCTGACTTTACCAGCAGTAAGAAGTTACCCCGGACCCAGCCTGCGCCCAGGCACACACACACACACAGCAGAAACTAAGCTTCCCAGAACGCCTACCCCTGCCCCGAACAGCGCATTCACAAGCTGCCTTCCCTGTCTGGGGGCGGTCACGCCGTCCTGCTCTATCCTGCTCTACCAGGCCTGATTAAAGAAAAAGTCAACATGGGTGTATGCTGGCTTCTGACCCCAGAATGTGATTTCACAAACAAACCCCTCATGAGTAGCAGCCAGCATCCTGAGAAATACCAACCTCTAGGCAACGTGCAGGGATGGGTCTGGGTTGGTTCAACTCATGACAAAGGATCTCTACAACAGTCCTCTCTAAATAATGTGCTCATTTACTGGAATGAGAACTAGGTTGGGCAGCGTGCAAGAAGGGGTGGGTCTGGGCCCTCCTGACAGCAGAGAGTCTGGGTGTGACCCCACGGGGTGCCCCAGCCTCCCCCCTTCCTTACCTTGCTGGTGGCTGTGGCAGGTGAGCCGGGCAGCACAGGTGTGTTGGTGACCTGCACGTTCAGGTAATTGTTGTCGATGAGTGGCCATGCGCCCTGCACCTTGCAGGTCTGGAAGCGGTCTGTGAAAGTCCTGAGGTGCGGGTCCCCAAAGAGGCCGCAGTGCGTGTAGTTGGGGGCGGCCGAGTGCCTGTGGAAGCTCTTCTCATAGTGGCAGACCTCGGGGCTGTCGGAGCGCTCCTGGCTGTCCCCGGGCGGTGGGGGTGTGCGCAGGCGCGGCTGCGACGTGGGGCCATCCTTGGTGCAGTTGTGCTGGCTCATGAGGTCCTCTATGCCATGCGCGGCCGAGTGGTAGGCCAGGTCGCCCCGGCAGGCGCGGGCGGTGCGCCGGGTGCACAGGGCGTAGGTGCGCAGCGCTGCACAGAACTCGGGGGCGTCGCCCGAGGCCAGGGAGTGGCTGCCGGCAGTGGCGCTCCAGAACTCAGAGTTGCACTTGAGGATCTTGCACGGGGAGGTGGCTGTGGAGAAAGGGAGGTACGCCCTCAGGGTGGGGTGCCCAGGCTCAGCCACGCTGGGGTTCAGGGCTGCGGGCCCAAGAACAGCACCCCTCACCCGGCACCACCCACTGTGCACATTCACTCAACGGACGGCAAAGCACTCTCCCAGCTGGTAGTGCAGTGTGGAACCTGCCCTTCCGGCCTTCCAGATTCTTCTGCGCAGCCCATATCGACCCCGAGTGGCCACTCGTGCAGATAGCAGGTTGGAGGCTGCTCGCCCAGTTCCCAGCCTGTCAGAGGGGCTGCCAGTGCTTCTGGGCAGCAGGACTGTGGGACCTGACAGGCCACCCTTGGGTCTTGGACATCTGGTGATACTTCCACAGCCATCCTCCCGAATTTTGGCAAAAGCAGCAGCAATGTGGCAGGGAAATTTTTAAGCCCCAATATTCAGTACCTGTTTCTAGCTCTGCCACTGTGTGACCTTGTACCAATCACTTAACTTCTCTGTGCCTCATTTTACTTATGTGGAAAATGGGATAATAATCATATGTACTGTGTGAGGTTGCTGAGTGGTGAAGACTTAGGCAGGCACCGGCACACAGCAGCTGCTCGACAAACGCTGGCCAGTAAGGCAGCTGTACTAGCCCTGGTCACCTTGCAAAGCAAGGGCAGCTGCCCCTTGGTGGCTGTAGCCCCATTCCTCTCTATCTTGCTCCAGAGAGCCAGCCGGGAAGCAACGAGAGTGATCACCTCAGACCTGCCCTATTTTATTTTTATTATGTCATAAGCTTTGAGATCTTCGAGATAATTAGCTACAAATGACCATGCCTGAGAACTGTGGCTTTAACAGGCCTGAACACTGTGCCTTGACACATGGAATGTGCCCTTTCCCAGCCTCCATGATTCTTCTGCACAGCCCTGAGTGACCGCAAGTAGCCAGGCAGCAAGAAGGAAGCTTCTACACAGGCTTCATGAGCAAAGGAGCTGCAAGACCAGCTGGGAGGCCCCGCTTCTGGGGTCGTAGGCCACGCTGGAGTGAGCAACAGGAAGGGGGCCACTGCTCCAGCCACTCCTGGCTGGGCCACTAGCCTAGCTCGTGACCTTGGACAGGTCAGTTTGCTTCTCCGGCCCTGGCTTCTTACCTTTAAAATCAAATTGCAAATAGAAGCCAGGAGAGATTTTATGTGCAGCGAGGCTAAGGAAAATAAAATCCAGCAGCTGCCCAGTGTGAGCCCTCGGCTGTGCTGCGAGGCCCCGCATACCTGGCTACCTGGAGGCCTCTCCTACCTCTGTGGGCAGACAGGCACCGTTCTCTGAAGTGCCCTGCCCAAGTCACACCCCACGCGCAGGGGTGTGACTTGGGCATGTCATTCAAAGCCTGAAGTTTAGGACCAGCCAGGCTTTCCCCCTAACTTGACCTGTGTGTGTCACACTGCTGACCAACAAGGTCTCTGCAGGTGGTTCTGGGCAGACATTTTTCATTTGAGCAGTGACACATTTACTTTTCTGTGTCTTAGAAAACATAAAACAGATTTGATGGAATAGCTACAGATGTTCCATTCTAATAGTTTAGAGTTGAAGAAGTGGGGTGGCTTACAGAAGCAGATTCGGTAAATAACAGGCAGAAACTGCCAGGAAGAGGCATGTGGGGAGCACTGGGTGAGTCCCCCACTGTGTGGCCTCTGTTCCACAGAGATATGCTCCTGGGCAGGTCTCCCTTGACAGGCAGCTAGAAGGGTCTCTAGCCCTGCTGTCTGCACAGTTCTGCAACTTACAGAAGACACACAAAGGCCCAGCCTCCAGGTGGCCTACGGATGCCAATGTGGCCTGCGGGGGAGCAGGTGAAAGAGCCCGAGCCCCTGGTGGTGGAGGAAATGAGGTAGTGTGCGTGGAGAGGGCGCTGTGCAGCACAAGCACTTTGGCGGAGCACAGTACAAATGGGCTGATGGGTGCAGCTACCACCCCCATCTCTGGCCAGCGGCCTCCATGCAGGGCCTGCTCCCCCAGCCTCATTCATTCTGGGAGCAAGTGTGCTGACCTGCTCTTCAGTGTCTGAATCACGGAGATGCAGCTATCAGAGAAAGCTGCCCGAAATGGACACAGGCCTGTGCTGAGTGGCAGCCACCTGGACTGTGCCCACCACCCACCAGCCCACTGGCCTTGGGAGCCCTGCCTACGTCCTGGCGTGGGCCCCCCTCTGGCCCTCACACTGCCTAGAAGAGACAAAGGACACTGCCTGTCTGTGACCCAAGCAGGAGCTGCGCAGGCCTCTCTCCAAGCCATTAGAATATCTATCTCAGCCATGCACCATCCCCTTCACCATCCTCCACTACTGGGCGGCTCAAAGGCAGCCTCCACCGCAAGGGACCTCCAGCCTCTCCCTGAGGGCCCCTCCTGCACCGCCAAGAGCCCCCCACCAGCCAGGAGGCCTATGGCCTTGCCCTCAGCAGACCCCCTGGGAAGGGGTCTTCTGTCTGCACACTGCCTAGAGCGGGGGGGCAGGAACGGTGCCCTGGGTGGGACCAGCCTGCACTCAGATGAGGTGGGGTATGCAGGGTGTCCCCCGAAACAGGAGACTACCTAGGTTCTTGAACTTTAGGGGAAGGTAGTGATGGACGTCTGCCATCTCCACAGCCTTGAAACCCGGGCTCTGCACGGCAGACCAGCTCCAGAGCTCTCCCTGTGTGTCTGGAGTCCGTGACCAAACTCCCACGGAAGTGCCCTGGAAGGGGGTGCCTCCCGTGCTCTGGGGTCATCAAGTGGGGTCTGCCAGCCCAGCCATGGCCTTTAATACTCTGTCCAGAGCAGCGCTCCTCAAATGCTACAGTGCCTGCCAGCCTCAGGGGCTCTGGGTCAGCAGGCCTGGGGGGCCTGAGGACTGCATGGCCAGCAGGCTCCCAGGGGAGCCCCAGGCTGCTGATCCACAGGCCACAGTTCTTTAGAGTTGGGCCATTTTCTTTTCAATAGTCATCACAGAAAGGCCAGGTTAGAACCCGCTGGATCCCCGGCCAGACTGGAGTGTGTGAACAGGGCATTTCCTCTGGGTCGGAGGGGGCTGCAGAGAGAGAGGGCAGTGAGAGGGAGGCAGCTCTCCCAGGGGCAAACGGGTGGGAGGGCACAGCCCCCTGGCTCTCAGCCTTTGGAGACGAGGCCCTCCAGCTCTCTGTCCAACACGTGTTCCCCTCTCCATCCCGGGGAGAATGTTCTGCATGCTGTCACCCAGGACTGGGCCAAAAATGGAGAGGTGACGGCAACCCTGGCTGTGTGAGGAGGTGGGCAGGGTGGGCACAGGAGGGAGGCTGTGTGGTTCAGGTCCCACTCGGCCTCCTGCTAGCAGCTGTGGGAACTGGAGTCTGACTCAGTTTTCTCATCTGTGAATCTGAGGCAACACGTGCCTTAGATTTCACTGAGGATTAAGCGAGACGTACACGGTGTGCCTGGGACCCCCAGTAAACAGGTTGCCTGACAGAGGTCTCAGAGGGGGACAAATACAGCCCCCAGTGAGGTCAGAGGTTAGAGGTCATTGGTGGGGGAGCCCACCTATAGCGCGCGCTGATGCAAACTGACCCACCCGGATCCCAAGTTTCCGGGAGGGAACTGTGAGCGGGCCTCGCTCACCTTCCTAAGCGTTGAAGAGGAAGCCCAAGCACCCCCCCCACCACCACAGGTGGAGAGGCTGTGGCTCAGGGTGGGGGTGGCTTGTAAGAGGCCACTGACAGTGACCAGCTGGGACCAGATGAAGGGCGCCCACTCTGCCCATCATCTCTGCAGGCAGGGAGGCAGCCCTCCCGGGCCCGTCTGCCTGCAGCGCACAGGCCTGAGCCGCTGTCTCCTGGAGGTTGTAGGAAGGGCTCTGGGTGTTCCACAGCTGGGAAGTCTCCACGGGCGGCGAGTGCAGGAGCCCTCGATCCCCGCCTGCCCTGTGTCTACTCCACTAAATCACAGGGGAAAGGCCCCCCCCCAGGTCAGGGACCAGAACATAACCTGGCCTGGCATCAAAAGGAAAAGCTCTTGGCTGTGGCCTCACCTGCCAAAGAGATCCCAGGGGGGCTGATTTTTATGTGCTGCAACTTTCAGAAAAAGCAGGCGACCTTAATTCCAGGCAGGAAACCATGGACTTTTTCTGATGTGAGTGTCCAAGGAAGGCAGCAAGGAGAGGAAAGTCTGAGAGTTTGAAAGAGATCTTATTGCAACTCCTTTTAGCAGGAACAGGAAGCCAGCTTTGCTGAGCGCGCCACCCTCGGTGCTCCCAGGGGGCCGGAAGGCCGCCAGCTGCCCTGTTCCTGCCTGGCCCCTGCAGACAGCACAGTGGCCCCTCTTGGCCCTCTGGCCACCGCAACAGCCAATATGCACAGAGCCTAGAGATTAAAACATTGAGCTGGGGTAAGAAGTTCCCCTGAACTTCCATTTCTATCCCAGGCGCCGTGTCCTTAGGTTGGAGTGGCTCTTGCGGGGCTGCTGTTAAACCCATGGTGCGAGGGCCTGGGTCTCACACACCCAGGGAAACGTAAAGGCGCCGCACAGACCTGGGTGCTCCTTAGAAGCACGTTATGCTTGTTTTGTTTCGACCCAGGCCTCCTGAGACTTAGAACTTCACATGCAACGACAAAGGGACAAAACGGGAGAATCCACGGGCTGCAAAGACAGTGGCTGGCCTGGACTTGCCAACAGGAAGCCCCTGAACTACCCCCAGTGCCTCAAGAGGCAGGGGCCTGGGCAGTGCCTAGAGGACCAGGTGGCCTCTCGAACTTACTGGGGGCACAGTGGGCTCCTGGTGTTCAGGCTTGGAGCCCCGGCAGCCATTGGACCCATCTGCTCCTGACTTGTGCAATTCGGGCTGGAACTCCCTGCTGCTCTCTGCAACCTACTTTATCCAGATCACTTTATCTAGCTCCGTGCTGGTCTCTCAAGGTGCACCATGGAATTTTACAACCTGAGGGTGGGGACCCCAGAGGTCCCTGGTCACCGCTTTCCACCTCCAGCCAGGCCAGGAAGTCTGCCTGTAACACCCCTGCCTGGCA